CAGCCATTTAAATTTAAATGAAGCCGCGATTATTTTAATCGCGGCTTCATTTCCCTCTTCCGATCTGGCTAATCTACATGCCTCCGTCGAAGGAGGCATGTAGTCTAGACACACCCCTAGAGAGTAAGGGGGAAACTTCATAAAAATCTTTTAATAAAATCAGTACAGAAACACAGTAAACACAAGAAAATAAATTACAAATTCAAAAATAATTGCTTATCCTAAACAGTATAAAGTGCATTTTCTGTAGTCACCACTGAATATATTGATCCAAAACACTTATGAGAGTATAATACCTAAACAACAATGAAGGCATACACAATTAAAAATGTAAAAACTGAAGAATATAGCCAATTCTAGTACCAAATACCTTATGCAACCAATTTTTTTAATGGCCATCTTTGCTTGACCCAAAATAAAGATTGCAAGACTCTATTTGTGAACCTATACTTAAAAGTAAAAATAAATACAGGAGAAAAATCAAGGGACAATAACCATAAAATAACCTTCAGTGAAACAAATTATGGTAGTAACCTGAACCACATAAAAAAAAAAAGTCTCCTACGTGTTACAAAAAAGTCCATGACACAGATGCCTTCGGAGCAAAATGATGCACAGATACATTTATGGCAAAGCCCTGGGAATAATTCTCCATTAGAGATCACCCATCCTCTTCACAATTGGAGCTTTTTTACAGTTCACCAGGCTGGATGGATGGAGTCATCACCTGAAGCTGTTGCCTTGATAACATATTGGGATAATGAACAAGTATTTGAAATGACAAAGCTTTAGTAGAAGCATATATAGCAGGCATGTCCAAAGTCCGGCCCGCGGGCCAATTGCGGCCCGTGTTCCGATTTAATACGGCTCCCACTTCCTCCCCCTCTCCTGGCTCCCCGGTGTTCTTTTGAACTGGCGCGCCTAGCGCGCCGCTTCCGGCCGCACCGCCGCCGCCGCCACCCATGGCCTCCGCGGTCCTAGAGCCTGCCCTGTAGGGCACGTCCGCAGCCCCGCTCCCCCGCTCGGCTGCGGGTTCGCCCTGCCCCCAGGCCGCCATGAGGCCGGCGTGCCCTGCACTCTCCGCCCGCCTCCGACCCCGCGGGCCCTCCGCCTTGGGGCTGAGAGTGCGGGGACGGCCCTCATGCATGTTCACTTCTTCAAATCTGGCCCTCTTTGAAAAAAGTTTGGACACCCCTGATATATAGTGATGAGTGGCCTAAGATATGAAATGTACATTCAGAAGACACACTGAAGGTAAGCAAGCTGCCAGGCTTGTAAACACAACCACCAAGAAAACAGAAACATGAGTATTAATGGGAATGGCTAACTTAAGGAGATGTCTGTCTAGCTGGGCAATATTGCCCGTAGGATGAGCTGATTCCATTGAGGATTTAAAAAAAGAGATCCAGGAAACAGAATGAAAATCAAGATACCTGCTGTGATCTGCCAAGATATTAGCTGTGATCGCGCATAAAAATCAATTCAATGAACCATTTTTGTTGTACTTGCTGCAATAAGGGAAGAAACAAGACTCCTAGAAATAAAACTAGGAATTCTCATAACTGGACTGTAAACAGAGGTTCAGCATGCAGTCATCAGAACGTCTGGTACCTAGTCTGTGGCCTCATCTTAAAAAAAATCTCGCGTTAAAAAGGCTTTGATAGAAAATCTAGTAACACCTCAACATTGAAGCATCTATAACCCCTCCCCCCACAAAAAAAATCTTGATCAAAACACACATCTCTCCCCACAGCCAAGTACAGAATACGCTGCCTCAGCCAATGATGGCCAAAGGAATCTTCATAACTTTTTCTATAAAAAGAGTGGAGAGGGATTCAAAACCATCCATTTATGCCACACGCAGATGCAATTGCATGTTTAATTACTAACATCTGCCTTCGGAATGACACTTGAGACACCCATCCCTTCCACCTTTGCACCCTTTCCTCTAATTTTTCCATAACTCCCTTCCAAGTCCAACCCAAAGTATCATCTGGTCTCAGCACAGTACCCAGTGCCTTAAAGTCAGTTCAGCTCCACAATAGCCTCTTGGCAAGCAGGGGTGGAGGAGGAGTGGGAAATCACCCAAACCCAGCGGGAGGGTGTCAGTCTTCCTTCAGATTATGCATGCTAAGGAAGCCTGCTCAAAAGACTGCTGACATTCAGTGAATACATCACAATCATGAGTAAAAAACACACACGTATGTGGCAACTTTCAGAGTACAAGCTGGAAAAGGGGGGGGGGGGGCAAAAGTTGCTTTGGCAACATGCATAACTGTGGCTTGATAGAAAAAGTATATAATTACCCCAAAAGGGAACAACCTTTTCTACTGCCTCTACAGACAGGAAAGGGACTCAAAACACCATACACCTTAAGCACAGAGAGTACAAAACATAAAGCCATGATCTTCACGATCAAAAGCCGCCTTGCCTCAATCAAGGGAGATCAACCCAACATGCAAATCAAACACTTTAAGGTTGAAATTACATCCCAAAGTGTGAAAATGTTATCAAATTGGGCCTATTACAGCACACTTGACCTGCCCAGAATTTTCAATTTTCATTTCCAAAGGCTTTTCAAAAAAGTTTTTAGTCTCAGCAAAGCAGGGCCACAAGTCTCCAATCTGTCACCTCTCCAAGGTCTCCCTTCTTAGGCAATAAAG